AATCAGAACCAATTGAATATATGGATGCAATGAAAAATTCAAATTGGCTAGCTGCAATGAAAGAAGAACTGAATGCAATTGAGAAGAATAACATTTTGGAGTTAACTGATCTTCCTAAGAATAGAAAGCATATTGATGTGAAGTGGGTGTACAAGCTGAAGAAGAAACCAGATGGGTCAGTTGCAAAGTTTAAGGCACGACTTGTGGCAAAGGGTTTCTTGCAACAAAAGGGATTAGACTATGGTGAAGTCTTCTCTCCTATTGCAAGAATGGAGACTATAAGAACTGTGATTGCAATAGCAAGTCTTAAAGACTGGACAGTACATCAAATGGATGTAAAGTCAGCTTTTTTGAATGGATTCCTACAAGAAGAGGTGTATGTAGCACAACCACTTGGTTTTGAAGTGAAAGGGCATGAAGATAAAGTTTACAGACTGAAAAAGGCATTATATGGGCTTAAACAGGCTCCAAGAGTGTGGAACAAAAGAATAGACAATTTTCTGATTAATTTGGGCTTCAAAAGGTGTAGTGTGGAACATGGAGTATACAACAAATTACAGAATATATGGTGATTTACTCATCATTTGTTTGTACGTGGATGATCTGCTAATCACAGGAAGCAATGAAACACACATTGAAGAATTCAAGAATAAGATGAAAACTGAGTTTGAGATGACTGATATAGGGTTCTTGTACTATTTTCTTGGTATGGAGTTTGTAAAAACCAAGAAAGGCTTCCTGATACTTCAAAGAAAATATGCTGAAGAAGTACTCAGAAGATTCAAAATGATAGACTGTAATCCGGCTGCTACTCCATGTGAAACAAACTTAAGACTGGACAAATGTGAAGAAGAAAACTCTGTTGATTCTACCTTGTTCAAACAGATAGTTGGGTGTCTGAGATACCTTTGTTCAAGTAGACCTGACATTACCTATAGTGTTGGACTGATTAGTAGATTTATGGAGAGTCCAAAAATCTCTCATATGGTTGCAGCAAAAAGGATACTGAGGTACATTAAGGGAACACTAGACTATGGCATTCTGTTACCTAATTCAGTTCAAGCAAATGAGGAAATGTTGAATGGATATGCTGACTCAGATTGGGCTGGAGACATAGTTGATAGAAGAAGCACCACCGGGTATGTATATATGTTGGGAAGGGCACCAATTTCTTGGTGTTCTTGGTGTTCAAAGAAGCAACCAGTGGTGGCATTGTCTTCGTGTGAAGCTGAATATATAGCAGGTGCCTATGCAGCATGCGAGGCAATGTGGTTGCAAAATTTGTTGATAAAAATGCAAGTCAGAATGAACAATATTCCAGTGTTGAGAATTGATAATAACTCAGCTATCAGCTTGGCCAAAAATCCTGTGGCTCATGCCAGAAGCAAACATATAGAAACACGATTTCATTTCCTTATAAACCAAGTGAATAGAGGGAAGATAAAACTGAAACATTGCAGAACTTATGAGCAGCTAGCAGATATATTGACTAAACCATTGAAGATTCAAACTTTCTTGGAGTTAAGAAAGGGATTGAATATTGTTTCATATGCTGAGATTCAAGGGGGTGTATTGAAGAATAAGAACTCAGCCCATTAGTTGTAGCCCAGTTTCAGTCATTGTTAATAAGGTCCAATGTACTCTTTTATAGATAGTAAACGTTCATGAATAAAAGTATGCTTCCACTTCATTCATATCAATCAGTTCTTGTTAGTTATTTTTGTTAACAAACTTCTTCTTCTCGGTCTAAGAGAGTCCATTGTTTGAACACTGTTTGACGGCATTGTTTTGGTGTAAATCATTTGCCAAATAAGGAAAAGTTTGAAGTAGGAACTTTAACATGGACCATCCCAAAAAGGAAAGTAGGAACTTAATTACGAGACGGAGGGAGTATAATAATATGTAGTAACTTCGTAGCGCAATAGTCAAGATTCAAATCCAAAACTTATTCTTTGTGCATTCCTAGCGACCGATTGAGCTACGGCCGTCAACTATTTTGCCTTTTCATGTGCAGCAATTTTTAGTAGTAGTAATTCACTATATCCATGTTGTTATATATAGAAGAGAGTTCAAATAAAAAGACAATTTTCCATGTGTGTAGGGGTGGATCTGGTACAAAGTGATTTTATTGTGCAATAATTTGTATGATGTGTTTTTATGCTATTTGTATTGCACATTGATTTTCATATGTTGGTGCAAAGTGATCTCATTGTGCAACAATTTGTATGATACATTTTTACGGTATTTGTATTGCATATTGATGTTCATATGTTGCACATTATCTGCGATGGAAAAAAAGATTGCATATTAGCATTCAAAGTGTTACATCTGAGAAAGTGTGGTTTTGTTACCAAAATGTCATCGTGCATATTTCAACAATTAGATTTTTAAAATGGTGGAAGGATACTTTGTATTGTGTAAATTAGGAACACTTTGTATTTGATCCTTAATTTATCTATGTATATCAATGCTTCATCCGTTCTTAAAAAGTATAACATGTTGAGTTGTGCACTATTCACATATTTTATGTTGATTACGCTTTATTTATTAATGCAAAAGATCTATTTTATTTTAAATTTTTAACTAATAGAAAGCTATATATGTGAATGGTGAAAATTATGCATTGCTAACTATGAGAAGTAGAATATTACACTTGAAGTAACTAAAGTAAGAACGGAGAGGATATCAGACAAGATGAAGTAAGTGTACGTTGGGGACAGAAAATGAGGTTTGAAGGCAGGCGGACAGATCCGATTCGATCCCATCCAACTGGATCAAATACTATACTAGTGAAATGAAAGAGGGAGTAAATCCGAGCTAAGAGGATGGGGCCCATGAGTGATTTAGGAAAATGTGGGGACAGTATCGCAATTCAAACCTCTAATCAACATTTATGAAAACAAACAAAAAAATCAATGAATGGAATAGTGAAATAGACCAGCTCGCTCCCTCGCATAAAACCCGGCCACTCTCCTCTGTCCATCCATCTATTACTTTTTAAGTGGAATCACTCCTTCAAAAAAAAAGTATAATTATTTTTAGTTAAGCTAAGCTAAACTTGCTTTGCTTCTCCATCCATCATCTTCAATTTTAGATACTACTTTGAGTGAGTTGATAAATTTATAACGACCTATGTCTGAAGAGCTTAGAGATTTGTTCTACCACCACCCATTCCAAGATGATCAGCGCCCCCTCGGCTTTCTTTACTCATCCCCGCCGGCGGCTGCACACAGCTCCCCCGGCCACTTTCTCGATCACTCCTCATACTTGACGACCGCGGCCACCTTCACTGACGACGACGACACTTTCAACGCCGCCGATCCCGCCGACGCCTTCTTCTGCTCGCTCCAAGAGGATCACCATAAGCAGGCCACCACGCCCGCGGCGTCCAGCTTCCTCATGGACGGCGGCATTGCTGGAGCCCCGACGAGCAACACTCAAAGTCAAATAACCCCCCCGCTCACCCCGAACACTTCCATCTCTTCCTCCTCCACCGAAGCCGGTGCCGCCGATGACCATTCCACCAAGCTTCCGCCCAATAACGTCATCACAGATGATAATAATAGCAATATTCATCATAACCAAGTTTGCAGGGGCAGTGCTTCAGATGATGGAGATGACGCTGATGATAATAAGAAAGAGTACGTACTATTCCATCTCCTCTACCATCATATATACACACACTGTTCAATAGTGCTTTTTTATAACTAGAAAATTAAATATAACAAAATTTGCACATATATACCTAGCTAGCCACAATTTTTTTTTAGCAATGGGGGTTTATGTGAACTATTTTGAACAAGAAGGCTCCGCCACTACTCCCTATATAGAGTGACATCTTTAGTCTGACACTCTGACTCGAAAATAAGTCAACTCTATTTTTGTTTCAATCGTTGGATTATCAAAATTTTCAATGCTTATTTACTTTTTTTTATGATAAGTTAGTTTTATTCATAAGATAAGTGTTACAAAAGAAAATGTGAAACTAGTTAATTAGGATCTAATCTAACAGTCGAAACTAGTTATTGTTTTTTTTAACCCAGAAACTAGTTATTGTTGATTCAAATGAATAATAAAAATTAAAATCACATCAAAATATTCACTTTTGGCCAAAAATAGAATTGCACTCACGGGATTCCCATCAAGTCGATCAGATATGAGCACTATGGTTAATTAGTTTCCTACGATAATTATTGTCACGCTTGAAAAGTATCCTATTTTAAATTGTTTTTATCCCAATTCTAGGAATTTTCCCTTTTCATATTCACAACCTTTTGACTTATTCATTAAACATTGTGAATGGAAAAGAGAAAATCCATCTAATAGGAGTAAAAGATAGCATGATTTTCAAAATATATAAGACCCGTTCATTAATAATACTCAAAAACAAGTTCATAAAGGGCATTCTAATACGATGCTTGACTGACGATAAAACAACTCGATCCCTATTCACACTTGGATTATTTTTAGTAAATAAAATTTACATATTAAGAAACTACATTAAAACCGCTACAAAATCTGATCAAGAAAATTTCAATTTAATAAAAATTTGATATATATAATAAAAGATTAGGAGTGACTTAAGTTGACCAATGAATAGTAAAGTGGAACTTGTTTTTGAATCAGAGGGAGTATGAATTAAATAAATCTTGTTTTGAGAGAAGAACACATTGAATTCTATTTTAAAACATTGTCCATGTTTCAATGTTATTTTGAACAATGTAATTTCCCTCCTAATCAGAAAAATGAAAGCTGCTTATGGGTCGGCCGGTCGGATATATGAGGAATTGAGTTGTAGAAAAACATGATCAACCGCATATTTCATTTGCAACCCAAAAATATAAGGAAAATATGATCCCAAATAGTTTTTCAATGAGGCACAGATCAGATGGTTGGGATTGTACGTTAATTGATGGTTGGTTATCCCAAATATGCACATATTGATACATATATGTTGATATATACTTTCAGGAATAGGACTAATAAGGGAAAGAAGAAGGGGGAGAAGAAGCAACGACAGCCACGAATCGCTTTCATGACGAAGAGTGAAGTTGATCATCTGGAAGATGGATATAGATGGAGAAAATATGGGCAGAAGGCCGTCAAGAATAGCCCTTATCCAAGGTACGTCCGATCCATCCCTAGGAATTACTTGAATTCATGAACTATCTATGTATTGATGGATAAATAATGTGGTCATTTAATAACTGATTTAAAAATACGTATGTGTGTGTGCACGCGCAGAAGCTATTACAGGTGCACGAGTCAAAAATGCCCGGTGAAGAAACGAGTGGAGAGATCGTACCAAGACCCCAGCGTTGTGGTGACGACGTACGAGGGGCAGCACAACCACCACATCCCCACCAACCTCCGGGGAAGCTTCGCCGCCGGGATGCTCACCCCGTCGATGCTAACTCAGGCCACGCCCACCGCCTTCCCACATCATGACCTCATGCTTCAACACTACGGCAGCAGCAGCAATCACTACTTCCGCAGCAGCCTCCACCATCATGCCGCCGCCGCGCCAAATAACCCTTACTTCGGGACTGCCGCCGCAGCTAATCATAATAGTAATAGTAATGCGGCGGCGGCCACGGCATTCTTATCCGCTAATCCCAATCCTAATGCCTCCTCCCTCCTTAATTACCAACAACAACAACAACATCTAACTACTCCTCATCACTTCCACCTCCAGCCTTCTGACTATGGCTTGCTTCAAGATATGCTTCCTTCTTCTATCTTCTTTAAGCCCGAGCCCTGATCTCATCGATCGATCGATTAGCCACCCACCTACATACACCTACTTTTAATTTCCCCCATATCATCCATCTAATGTTATTCATACTTTATTCTTTTCTAATTTTTAATCCCGCCCGCATCAATGACTTCGTTCAATTGATCAATTCCCGGCCCGGCCCGGCCCTTTTTTCATTATTGTTATTATTTAGTACTGTATCATTTTCGATCAATTTCTTCTTTTTCTTTGATTAGTTGCATGGTCTTACAGTACGTATGACAAATACACAATTCCTTCAATTTTGCTTAACAGCTAGCTAAGCTAGCCAGTACGTTGCAATGGGAATATATTGATTTATAATGCTTCAAATTGAATGTCATTGCCAGGCCACTTATATGTGTTCTATACTACTTCAACGTTCTTTAATTCCTGCAACATTGTGATTTTTGCACTATTCACAGACCTTATTTTGACTACAATTATGTACTACTATTCATAATCAAATAATTACGTATAAAATGTTATTAAATTCCTATCAATGTGAATTTTCAAAATATCAACTTTTTATAATGTTTACTAATACATAATTAAATATAATTATAGTCAAAGTTGTGCATTGGCAAACGTGAAAGTCAAACTGTTGCAAGAATTAAAGAACGGATAGTATGTTGCTTCCCCGATCCTCTTATGCTTTTCATTGAAAAAATTACATTATCCAATTTCTAGTGTGATATATATATATATATATATATATATATATATATATATATATATATATATATATATACATATATATATATATATATATAGGACTTTTCATGTCCAGCCGGCCTGACGGGAACCGCCGTCCGGCCGAGGGCATTTGGGGCACTTATCGGTGGAATTTTTTGATGAACTTTTTTTAGCATGTTCTTCATGAAGTCTAGTTTATCCAGACCAAATTTCAGCTAAAAATTCAATCTGGAACACACTCAAATAACTTTTTGAAGTTAACTGGGCAGTTTATATGTATGAACTGCCCAATTAACTTCAAGAAATTATTTGAATGCCTTCCCGATTGAATTTTTAGCTGAAATTTGGTATGGATAAACTAAACTTCATGAAGAACATGCTCAAAAAATTTCATCAAAAAATTCCACCGGGAAGTACCCTAAATGCCCTCGGACGGACGGAGCATCCCGTCAGGCCGGCCTGACATGAAGACTACTATATATATTTGATGCACTATATCGTTTATGTCTTGCACATTTTGGTGTTGTTAAAATATTCACGAATCAGCCACCACATTTATTTGATGTTGGCATGTTTTTGCCCAAAGTTTAAAAAGTGTAATAAATAAGCCTCATCGTGCATCAAGTTGTGGTAAAAGTGCATGGTTCTCACATTAAGCATGGTTCTCATTGGAACCGCTCCATATATATATATATATATATGCAAAATCAGATACAAAGTATGCTTCCCATACAAAATTAAATGCAAAATCGTTGACGTGAACTTTGTCGTGAGTGCACTCAAAGTAAATTCAACACTAACACTTATACGTAGTATAGGTGAAGTAGAGTTCGTATCCACAGGGAAAGGAATAATTTTCTTTTTATATAAATAGTAAGTAAAGGGGGGTTTTGATTGTTGAGTGATTTAATTAAATTTAAACACGAAGATGAACGATTTATATGGGATTTAATTCAAAGATAAAATTGACTTGGTATTGCTACTTTACACTTGTTGATATATTTTGGTCGATCATTGTTATATCTATAACTTATCTCCTCTCGAATACTCAATCGAGGAGTATATCCAATTCATCGAGGATAGTTATTAACAACGACCGTTCATTAATAACCCTTACTATTAGTCAAGTATAGAACAAGCGCCGTATACCGACTTGATAGTAGCATTTAATCGCTTAACTCCTTGATGAAATCAATTGAGATCGATAACCTCAACACAAGCGGTTTTGGTTTAACCAACACAATTAATTCCTCTTAGGTCTATTAACCACAACCGTGCATTAATAAACCGAAGTTACTTACTTGTGAAACCATCAACGATTACCATTGGTTCGTTGATCGTATCTAGTAGTAATTAATATATGAAACAAAACTAGTTGATCCTTTAAGTAATGTTCAAAATATTAATATGAAATATGAATAGGAATTAATTAATACTCAAGGAAGAATATTAAATAAGATGAATCCTACTATAGTTAATATCAGGATGTTAACTAATTGTCATCTTAGTAACACTCCCCAATATTAACATAGAGAAAGAAATGATTATTACTATAACTAATGTCAAGATGTTAACTAATTGTCATCTTAGCAACACTCCCCAACATTGATATAGAAATAGCATTTGAAGAAAGAATTAATATTCAAGGAAAGAAGTTAAGAAAATAACTCACAACTTTAATAATCAACAAGCTTCAAGAGCAATACCAAGAAATGGAAGTTTAGCTCCTCATTTGGAGACTAAACATGCTATAAAATATAAAAGAAATACTATTCTAAACTGAGCTTAAGAGTATGGAAGAAGGAGTGATCTTATTGTGAAGGAAAAGGGGTGTATTTATAGGTGTTTGGAGGTAGCAGGGTGGTGTACCCGACCGGGTATATAGGGTACTCGATCGGGTATTTTAGGCAGTTTCCCGGAAAATCACTTTTCTAGACATACCCTATCGGGTATGAAGGCATACCCGATCGGGTATGAGCCAAATCTTCAAAATCCTGCACGTTTTTTTGTCTCTCCAAATCTCTCCAGATTCTGATTTTGACACCCGAATCAACTCAATACCCGATCGGGTATTGCCTATACCCGACCGGGTATATGAAATATTTTTTCAATCTTCTTTTGATCTTGTCCCCTTGCACTTTCATTGATCTTTTGGGGTCCAAACTTGATCCTTTGGATGATCTTGACCTGTTTTAAGCTCAGAATAATCCTAATCTAAACAAATTACATCTATCTAAGAAAATTAACTAATTACACCAAAAGTGTGTAATTTTCCAAACAACAACAAATAAAACTAGTTAAAATAGAAATAATACATGATAAAAATACAACTCTATCAACTCCCCCATGCTTAGTTTCTTTACTCGTCCTCGAGTAAAGTCAATGTTTCATCAACACTTTAAACAATCATGAACAAGCAAAAGATAACCAAGTAATGTTTAAAATGTGTTTTACAAAGTGAAATGATTCCACTTATGCACTACACACTTCATGATATTGGGTTTACTTGTCTTCTATGCCTTCCATGTTCCTCTTCATCATTGTATCACCACATCCCTGTAAAAATAATTTCTCTCATTTCTCTCATTTTGCCTAGGATCTTTTTTTTTTTTAATTTATCCTAGCCTCTCATTTTTTTTTCTTTCTCCCCTACTCACTCAATTTTTTTTTTGCTTTTATTGCTTAGATTGCCCATTTGGGTTTTCAACCTAACTAGCTTTTTTATGTTTCTTTTTTTTTTTTGCTTTTTTTTAAACAAGAATAAAGAGTATGAGAGTGAGTATTCCATGAAACTCTCCCCCCACGCTAGTCAAAGCACTGTCCCTAGTGCTCATCTTCAAGACATCATAGAAAAGGAGAATTCGGACTTGGTGTAGGTGGAGTTAGGGAATTCGGATTTTGGATTATTTGGTGGGTTTTGTTGGTATAGAAATGAAAATTGTGGGGAGGATAAGAAGAATATGAGTTTAGTTTGTTGATTTGGTGGATGTATGAAGAAGATATGAAAGTGTGAAATTGTAACTATGGAGGGTTTGGGGTGTTGGGCTCGAATGGGGTGATACAATTTTTTTTTGAAAAGTGCAAAAATAAAATAAAATAAGTAAACATACCTTGCATGGGTTGCCTCCCAAGAAGCGCCTCGTTTAACGTCGCGGCACGACGCCATCATTGTGTTCAATCGTTCAAACTCGGATCGTGATAATTTATCTTCTTCACACTTTCACTCCTAGGACTTCCATAGGAATGCTCAATTTCTCGATTCTTCACTTTGGAAATCTTTCCAGGATCAAATATCCAGATTTTCATTGATTCATGTGGTGGGAGGAAGGGGAAGAAATTATCGTTTAGCATGGTCAATGAAAAGGTTTTCGATCCCTCAGTTTTGAAGAAGATTTCAGAAATGTCATTGTCCTTTTCAAGTTTATGAGTTTCTCTTAAAGCGTCCAGGGATGATGGAGATACCTCAAAGGATGATAATGACAAAATTTTGAATTTGAAGCTCGGCTTATCCTCGTCTTTGACCAGTTGGAGCTCCGTGTCTTTTTCTTCTTCTACTTCTTTTGGATTCTGGGTCTCCTTTTGCATTTCCTTTCCATTTGTCAATGTGATTGCAAAAGTTTGCTGTTCAGGATCACATTCTATTTGAGAAGGAAGTTTTTCTGAATCCCTTGCTTCAAGCCTACTCACGGCTCTGGCTATTTGACTCATCTGAGTTTCTAAGTTCAAAATGCTAGACTTGGTCTCATTTTGGAATTGCACCATGTTGTTTTGCATAGTGGTCATGTTGGTAGCAATAGCCCGGACCATATCCTCCGTAGACATGTTAGAGTTGGAGAACGGGTTATACCTCATGTGAGGTACATCTCTTTCGTAACCAACCTCATCAATTTGTTCAAGATATTCATCTTGGAGCTTTGGGCAGAAATCCGTTAGATGCCTGTGAGACATGCAAATGTTGCATGTTTTGGCATCTTGAGCTTTTGAGCTTAAGATAAATTCATTTATTAGAGAAGTCAAGAAGGAAATTTGACTCTCTAAGGATGAAATGTTGGTATCCATACACTCATAACTCATGTAAGCTCAGAAAATAGAAGAGAATTTTTATTTTTTTTTGTTTTTGATTTTTATGAGAAAAAATAAAAAGAAAAATACTTGCCTTTCCCCG